CGTCGGACACACAAAGAAGGTTTGTGAGAACACAAAAGAAAGACTGCTTCGAGCTGGTTCCGATTGGGGACTCAGAAGGCCTGGCCTGGTATGTATTCAAAAAGTATGTTGGAAGTCTGTCCCATTTCCTTCCTTCGGCCCTTAAGTCAGGCAAAATCTAAGAGAAAATCAGATCTACCTCCAAAATTCTAGGTGGTGGATCCAGAATAAGGCCTTCAATAGAAGATAATCTAATTTACTTGTACGCACCAGCAAGAGAGCACAATTCATATTGTCCCTGGGCACACACGACAGCAGCAATGAGCCCAGATTTCTCTTGGAGGGGCACTAGAATTCTGACCTGCAGATTACACTTTTTCTGCTGGGTAATTCTTTTTCATGTTTAACCAGATTCTGTGTCTCTTACTGCAAACAAGATCTAGCTATTCCTTTTGCAACTAAAGATTAAAATACAAAGTATACATTTTTTTCACCTTGGCTTCCTTAGTATTCCTTGCAATAGTTGATTGTATTTCTCCTTCACTGATGGAAGAAACAAAGTGTAGCCATTTCTTTAAGTGCAACAGAGGAAGGCAATTTTGGCCTAACAATATAATTGCCCGCGAATCCATGATGTCTCTTACCCCTTGGAAATGTTTCCCATAAGGAAGTTGCATTTAAAAAGAAATGACCCTACTTTCAAGTTCCCTGTGATTAGCTGCTGGATGTTGAAACTACATCTGGTCATTTTGAGGATATCTGCAAGGAGCCCCTAGAGCCTGCTGAAGAGTTCATCCCAACCAGTTCCTTTCCCTCCGATATGGAGAGAACTGTTGCAGAACGCAAAGATACGCTTGACCATGAGACACCTTCTCCATGCTCCTCCAGAAACACATACTTAGGTACCATTTAAACTATTAAATAGTTAAGACAGGTTATCAATTTAACACGAAGACCAATATTTTCAAAGCCAAACTGCACATGAAAACAAGTGCACCATACCACAAAGTATGCGATTAGAACTGTCTGGTATTCCGAAGATTCAAGGTTCTATGAGTGATTTCTCAAGGAGTCTCCCAGTTCTATTTGCTAAGATGCAAATAGAATAACTCTCAGAGCAGACACGTACAATACACCCTTCTCCTCAGTGTCTAGACATTAGTCTGGTAGGTGAAAAATCAGTGCGATGTGAAAATGGACGATGACCACATCAGATCACCAACTGGAAGGTGACAATCTCATTATATAACTGCCAAAGCATGAGAACCATTGCCCAGACAATCTGACAGGTAACTTTAACCATCATCACAGCTAGCGTGACTCTTGCCTCATACCATGGTGCTTGTCACAGCCAGGTATACATCATTATGTGTAAAGCTGCTGGACAGAGTTTTTTACTAATGAGACAATCCGTGACTGAGCAGCAGGGGCACAGGTGGAACAGAGATGGAAGCTCTTTGTAGACCAGGATTGTTTTTCCAAAGCATTAATTTTCAAAAAGTGGGCATTTGCATTTTGTGGAGGAGGTGTTCTCTCAGCATACATTTGCAAACATCAGTAAACATTTTGAACAAACAAATAGATGGTACACTGTAGGAACGGAGAAAATGGTTGAGTCAAAAGCAGCAGCTAAAAGAAGCAGAATCCACCGTGGCAGCAAAGCAGTTGGAGTTGGGAGCACACAGGGTTCCCCACAGCCTTTGAGTCTCTATGAGACAAAGGAGAATTGGGAATGCCGTGATAATCCACAGTATTTGACAGGAAAGGAAAAAAAAAAAGTCAGAAGGAAGTGATTAAAGTCAGCTTCATGACCTAACATATCCAATAAAAGACAGCAATGGAAGCTAACATTTTAGTAACACTGAAAATTATTGTTCATATCATGAGGGAACAACCCCATGCTGGTCCCTAAGTAGTTTCCTATACCTCACCACTACTTAACGAGTTTGATACACCTGGTCCTTTGCTCTACACGGAGAACACTGGCTGCGTATAGGTTATGAAGCTTGGGACTAAGGAGGGCACGAAAGTATGAATGCAGGGGTTGGTTCTGTGGGCTTTTGAGTTCCTACTTTGGCAGTGGAAGAGAAGAGGTATTGGTGGAGGTGTCGTGGGGATGTGGTCAGGGGAGTGGAAGAACTGAGCAGGTGAGTGACCCAAGGAGGTGGGGCAGCATCTATGCCAGGAAGCCTCATCAGCTACCGAGATGAGTCAGCAAGGTGCCATCATGGCACTTCACATACCTAGCCCGCTTGTCCTCTTTTCATATTAGCTTGCTGATTCCTGAAGTAATCCATTCTCTATGTAAAAGTTAGGAAAATGCTCCGTAAAATGCCCAGAGGAATATTTGATAATTATTATAAGTTTACCATCGGAAGATAACCACTGACAATATCTTGATGTACTTTTCCCCTAAGTGCACATTTTAAAATAAAAACGTACATCTTATGGTATGGAGTATTTCATAAGCTGGCTTCTTCTGTTTGAATACTAGTTACATTAGACAATCCAGACATAAAATGTCTATCTTATGGCCAAGTCCACGCTTGTGTGCGGGGCCTGGGAGGATCCCTTTGAGCTTAGATGATCCCTAGCCTGGTGGAAAACTTTACAAATCAGTGGCACCGGCAGGACTTTGTGAGGCACAGATGAGGTAGGTAAAAAGGCTAGAAAGGACATTTGTGAAGGTGGTGTGCTGGAGTGAAATTTCTTACTCTGGCTCCTCTATCCGCGTCTCTGGAACTCCCAATGACTGGGTGAGACTGCGCAATTAGGGTGCGTGTAACACTAAGAGAGGGGACTTGTCTGTGTTTGTTACCACCTCCAGCTATAAGGATGAACTACTTTGAAGGAACAGCAGAGAGGCGAGAGAGACCAAGACCATTTTGGAAGAGCTCATCCGAGATCTCTGTCTGGAGTGGCAGAGGCCACTGAGACCAGGAACATCGGAGACTATGCCATGGAGATTCAGAGGAGCAGCACCATGATGAGGGGACACTTTCTCCTCATCTAGTCCAAGACTACAGCACGGTGGCGCAGAGTGGCAGGGCGGGCTGGCTTCCCGGCCCATGGAGGCAAAGGCCAAGGGACTGAGAGACTGAAGAGCAGAGAGATACTTGGCTGCTGGCTGAGGAGACCCATAACTGTAACTTTAGTGTTTGCTGATCCTGTTGACTTTCCTAACAAATCCCCTTCATGTGAACCTAACCTGTGGGTTCTACGTATCCACTGCAATGCATTCTGGAACCCAGCAGAGATGTAGGGTGGCGTGGGAGAAGGGCTGGTGTCAGAATAGGGTACAAGAAGAATGAAACCGTGGAGGCATGCCTGGGTCTGGCCTCATGGTGATAGGGAGACCCTAGGAGGTCAGCTACACCCACCTTCATGCAGTGGACTTCAGAAGGAAAGACCCAGGGAGCACACAGAGTTGGCTGATAGGCAGTACGTACTGGAAAGTGAGGAAGGGAGCTGATTGCCAAGTGAAGAGTTTTGAAGAAAGAGGAGAGGAATACCAACAGAAAGTAAAGATGGTAGACGAGACGCTCCATCCAGCTCAATTGGTAGGGCCACAACCCAGGAAATAGAAGGTTAAAAAGACGACTTCCTACACCAAGAAATTAGGCTGTGAGAAGAAAAAGACTAGAACTGGGACGATGAGAAGGCACTATAACTATCCTTGTAAGACAGCAAAACAGGCTGGACAGCAGGAATGGCCATGCTAACAGAGGTAGCAATAAAAATTTCCCAGAATATTGAGAATCCAAATGAGATGATAGAGGAATCCACAGCTGGACCCTGGGTGAAGGCCATGCAGATTAAGACAACAATCAGTGGGTGGCCTTTGTAAATGGGTTGGCCAGAGGATGGAATGAGGCTATAAGGCACCTGACGGAAGGGGCAGGCAGGATGGGCAATGAGCACTTGATGGGACTGTCAAGAGAGGTCCCAGGAGAGAGTGTGTGTGCCTGCCTGTTGGGGGGAGCAGGGGATTTAAGTTACAGGAGCCCTGGTGGTGTAGTGGGATACACGTTGTGTTGCTAAACCAAGAGTTAGCAGTTCGAAATCACCAGCGGCTCCATGGGAGAAAAAGATAAGGCTTTCTACACCAATGAAGAGTTAGCAGCCTTGCAAATCCACGGGGCAGTTCTATCCTGTCCTATAGGGTTGCCGTGAACCGGAATTGACGGCATCAAGCTTGGTTTTGTGTGGAGTGTATTTCAATACCTATGTGCAAGAAGTGTAATCCAGAAATGCAATCCAGAATGTAAACTGCAAAGAAGAAATCAATTGGCTGGAAGAAGCAGTGAGAGCCTGCCTTTGGTAATTTACTCCTTCAAACCTTGGAATCAAACAGAAGTCAAAAACACAACCTTAGCAATAATCTGACAGCTGAATCTTTAAATCAAGTAGAGGTTGGGGAGCTGTAAGTTGGAGGGCTTGGTGGGCAGCCACCTGGCAGCCAATTCACCCATCCACTGAAAGGGATGGCTCAGGTGAATGAAGCAGTTTAGGGTACTTAAAGGCACCTGGCTTACAAATTCTGGAGGAGGTGGGACATGCCAGCCATTGAAACAGGGCACCACCCACAGGAAAAAAAAGTTACAAAGAAAGCGTGTGGAGAATATCAAAACAGAGAGACCATTTACATCAGGAAGGAGTTTACCTTTCTTACCCAACTGCCTATAAAACGCAAACAATGTATGGCACATGTCAAAACTAGCAGCTATAAATGCTCAAATGCATAAACAAAGCTTTGAATTTTTAATTATGCAACCCATTGGAATGTTAATAAGCGAGAAAATGCAGACTCTCTTTTCTAACCTATAGCATTAGAGTTAATCACTTGTATACCACAGCTTAATAAGGAAGGATAACGATTTGAGAAGATGCAAGACCTTGGAGTTACAAGCTGTTACCAAACCTCTTACTCGAAAATCGAGGTGTAATAAATGGTTTACACTGGGAGTTTCTGCGGGAGGGAGCAACTCCAAGGCCAACAGGAGGAGACATAAATACGATACCTCTGGATTCATGATCCCTTCTTTTTTAAAGCAGCTGTAAAACATGTCCATGGAGAACACTTCACTCCAAAGGTATCCATAGTATTGGCCATCATACCCCCCTGCCAAATGTCCAAAAGTGGCTGGCATATTTGTGCCTTGAAAGAAAGATAGATTTCCATCAATGCGTTGGTAAGTGTCAATCATCAGGATTTCAGCTGGCTGAAATGGCGATGCCAGCTGGGGGAGGGGAGGAAGGTCATAGGCCTTCACCTCCGGTACTGTCGCCATGCCCTGGGCGAAGCTGTTTACCCACCTCTCCCTGGATGGCTCAACCTCGGAGCTGGTTTCGGCCCTAAGCTCTGGAATGCTCAACAACAGTTTCAGAGTCTGTCCACACCCAGTTCAGATTTTCACAAGTCCCGGTCTTCATATCCCTTAGACATGTATGTGCCTTAGAGAACGCTCTGATATCCCCACCCGTGCCCTGGTCACACCTCTGTCTACCGACAGCATGCCAGCAAGGCCCGCATCTGAATTTGATAATTCGTTCCTAAAACAGATCCCGTCACTTGTAAAGTGAAAAAGGTTTTGGTGGTTGTTGTTTTTGCACCAATTCAGTCTACCTCTAAAACCAAACCAAACCAAGAATTTGTGGGAAATTGATTTTGGCTCATTGGCCACCTCCTATATTTCAGAGTAGAACTGCATATCCCAGAGCAGGTCACCAGATTGTTTTCCACAGGTAGGCTTGAACCACCACATTTTGGCAAGTAGTTCAGTGCTTGAAGGGGCCCAGGTGGTACTGTGGTCAGTTCGCAAACACTAGTGGCTTCTTGGGAGAATGAGGAGGCTTTCTACTTGCCTGAAGTTAGTCTTGGAAACCCACAGAGGCAGTTCTACCTAGCCCTGGCCTACAGGGTTATGGTGAGTCACTTTGACAGCAGTGAGTGAGTAGAATCCAGTGATTAATCTTTTGCATAACCTAGGACCTCCAGTCTACCCTGGGGCGACAGTGCCCGAGGCACAAAGCTGTTGTCCACTATACACAGAGGAAAGTGAGGAACCCCAATTGACTCCAGGGACCAGTCTTATCTTTATTAGCTCCATAAATGTGGCTGATTCATTTTAACAACAATCTCCTTTGTGAAAATAAAATTCTCCTAACCTGTACATGCCCAGCCACTTGCTGGTTTGAAAGTGCTAAGTAACACACTCCCACACCCGAGTCTCAAGTCTCTGGCTAGAAACAGAATGGAACTGAAGGCCTTGATCTCAGTCTGCTCCTCTCTGAAAACACCTCTTCTGCCCAATCACAGGGAAGTTCCCGGGATCAGAGGGAGAGTGGCCAGGCTGGCGCTACCACATGTGAAGTAGTCTTCTTGCTGGGGGGACTGAGGAGGAGTCAATTACCCATGCTGAAGACACTGAAATGTGGCCGGACCCACCTTTCCTTCTAGCACATTTGGACAGGACAACTCATCAGGCCTTTGGTATGTTTATCTGTACAGCACGGCCTGATCATAGCAGGCAGGAAGAAATGGAGTTAGGCAATCTTCCAGGGCGACTCTACCTGCCCTGGCAGTGCTGGAAGGATGCCCAGTGCGGTACATGGAAAATGAACCCAAGCCTGGAGAATGTACATACCTGGAGTAGCTGAAACACCTAGAATCTCTGTGCAGTATTTGGCATATTCCTTTGCAGCATCCAGAGACGTGTTGGTGTGGAGAGACTGGTCAACTTTACTTAAAACAATCTGGCGTAGGGTCAGAAGACCTAGTAACATAAGAATGTTTGGGCCTGTTTTAGACAAGAAAGAACCCCGTGTTCTACTGTAACAACACAAGAACACACACACAAACCCAAGTGAAACTCACTGCCATCGAGTGGATTCTGACTCATAGCATCTGTATGGGGTAGACGGGCACTGCCCCTTTGGGTTTCCGAGGCTGTCAATCTTTATGGGACCACAAAGCCTCAACTTTCACCCTGAGTGATGGATGGGTTCTCACTACGGACCTCAGGATTAGAGCCCAACCATAACCCAGTATGCCCCAGGGCTTCTCCACAAGACCAGATTTCAAAAATTATTCCCAGCAGGACTCAGTCAGAAAATGGGAACCATACAATTCTACTTAAGATTAAGGCTGACTGGTATTTTACATACATACATTTAACACATAATAGGGGCCCCTAGTTTAATATATTTAGAGTTCCAGGGATCCCCATTCCAAGATAGTAGCACCCTTGGGGTACTGTTAAGATCAAAAGGTAAAAAATTTATTTTTTTGAGGACGGGGGAGAACAGGCTGAATTGGGTTATGAGGCCCCAAAAAGATGCCCCATCTCAGTCATTGAACTCATTTTGCCGGCTGGGAGTCTGTTCCAAGCTCCACTGCTTCTCCTGCCCAGTCTGCCCTCCGGGCGGAGCCCTTCTCCAGGCGCTCAGCGCCCCGAGGCTCAGGGAGGGCCCTGTAAGGGCTGCTGCTGGCCCTAGTCTCAGACCTTCCCAAGGGACAGGGTACAGCATGACACAGCACTCAGCTCAGAGCTCCACCGATGAGCTTCCCTCCGCCCCTAAGAATGTTTTATAGAAGAACATGCTAGCAATTCGGCATCGAGCCAGTTCTAATTTATTTTCCTTCCCAAACCTTCAAGGCATACCTGTGTTGACCAGCCTGGAAGCAACAAGTTTCTCAAGCAGATCATCCGTAATAGGGCTCCCATTTTTATAATGCTTTGACAGTCTTCGGAGAGAATCAGGGTCCCATACCCAGTTTTCCAGCATTTGGGATGGCACCTCCACAAAGTCCGTTTCTACATTTGTCCCACTAAAGCGGGCGAAGTCGGTCTACAAAGTAAACATAGAAGCATTTTCTTTCTTTCTTTTTGTAAATCCCATCTGTGTAAAAATGATTTCTTGCCATCATCTTTAAGTTTTAAAAGCAAGGTAACTTTTCAATATAAATGAAGTAATTTCCAATTCTTTTCCTGTGTGCGTGTGAATAGAGTTTTCTTTTTGCCTGCCCCATCACCCGTCACCCAAGAGTTGCTTATCCTCCAGTTCAGTAATTTGCCTTCCCGTGGCTGGTAACCATCAGAGAATGTTTCTTTGAGTAAGAAAATCTTTTCTTGACTTTATAATAGTGATCGCAGGCAGTACTTGCCCTTCTGTCAGTGACTGATTTCACTCGGCATACATCCATATTTCCTGAATAAAGGGTTAAAATGCCCTTACATTTAAATCAAAACAAAACATACAGCAGCCAAGCAACATGAAAAATAACCCCCCCCAAAACTCTATCTTCAGCTAATATAATTTTATCCTTTGAATCACAGACAAACTTGGAACCATCACCAGAAATTGCTAACGTGGGGTTCTCAGGGGGGGGGGCATGCCCACCGTAAAAGGAAGGGCACTACCACAGAGAAAGGTACAAGGACAAGTGGGGGAGAGACTCTCAAAACACAGGCAGACCATCTGCGGCAGGAAGGGCTCAGACGCTAAAACAAGCTTTAAGCTTTCAAAATAAAAAATATTTCTAAATTACTTTCCAATAGACTCAGAAATCCAGAATCTAAGACAAACATCTGCTCCCAAGCTGTCCCTTTTCTTTGGTTACAGTTATTTATTTAATATGTGCCTGTGTGGGCAAGTAGCACCCTACTGCTTAACTGCTGAACTAAACCGGTCCTTGATGAGCACAGTCCTCCAACTCCAGGCGACATGGTGCGTTTGAGAGCAGGATTGTACACCCACTGTCTTCAGTGGCTGGAGCGGGAGGAAGTGGAAAGCCCTGTGTCTCTAGCGAGGCACAGGTGCCTCTGGGGTGGTTTAAATGCCCAATGGTTCAGTTAGGAGACTGCCTGTACCACCAGGCCCTCCAGAAACGATTTCAGTGGGAATCAGGGCTACCAACCAATTGGCCAGTAGAGGTGAAGTAGTATAGGAAAAAAGACACAAAGATGTGTAGGCTACCCCACGCGATGGAGTAAGAACAGTTCCTTTGGGTTTCTGAGGCTGTTGATCTCTGCAAAAGCAGAAAGCCTCCTCTCCCCCCCTCAGTGGGTTTGAACTGCTGACTTGTGGTTAGCAGCCCAATTCATAACTCACCAAGCCTCCAGGGCTCCTTCTTAGAAGTTCAAGAACCCCTGGAAATATAAAAGGCTTCTTCTGAGGTCCTATGCTAACAATAGTAAGAGTTAAAAAAAAAAAAGTTCAATAAACTGCAGCGTCAGATGCCAGTAAAACTCCTAACAGCTAGGAGTTGGGGCGTCACTAGATTCCCATGGTTTTAACCTTCCTACCGCCCTCGCAACACTTGTGCACTTGCCAGTGGCAGGAGAGACTTGGTCTTCATCCTCGGGGGTTGTCAGCTGAATGGTGTGTGTGTGTGTGTGTGTGTGTGTGGTGTCATCGTTCTGTTGTCGTTCTCAGAACCTCTCTCCTGTTTTCTCTTCGGAAACTCTATATCCCCAGGCTCTCTCCTTGACTTTCTCAGCCCTTGGGCTCTAAATGGAGGGGAGAAGGGAGAGGGGCTTAACCAGAGAAGGCAGCAGATGGGGTTGTGGAATCTGCAGCAAATACCCCTTCTGTTGTTGGCCAAGGGCAGACGCACAGCTGTCAACGCCACCTCACATGCTGCCTTCCTCTCTTTATGCAAAAAGATGCTTTGCTTGACTTCCCATCGTGATTGTGCTGACTCTAGAGAGAAAGCGCTGCGAGTGTTGGAGGGCCAAGGCAAACGGATTCAATAGGAGCTGGAATTGGGCCACCTCTTCTGAGGGCATCTCCAGCAAAAAATTCTCACCGCGAAAGAATGAGACGAAGACCCTAGGGGGACAGCCCCTCCTTTCAAAGCCACATAACGGTACCTTCTAACTCCGTACATGATAGAAAATGACCCAAAAAAGCCCACCCAATTCTATGTAAAAAAGTTTAATAGTAGCCAACATTTAATGAGATTTTAATATATTTGGTTATATTGATTATATGATTCAAATTCCAAAACAACTGCAAGTCCTATTAGATCCATTTTAAAGATGAGGTACATAGAACAGTGGTAGATCTAGTATTTGAGGAGTCTTGGTGACACCCTGGGTTAAGCATTGGACTGCTAGCAGCAAGGTTAGCAGTTAGAAACCACCAGCCGCTCCTCAGGAGAAAGATGAGTTACATTCTCGGAAACCCAAAAAGGCAGTTCTCTTCTGCCTTTTTGGGGGGAGGGGGGAGGGGGAGGGGAGGTGGATTTGAAACCAGGTAGTCTGACTCTAGACCCACAATTCTAGCCATTCTAGGCATATCACTTATCTTAAGGAAAAGTAACAGGGTTACATTAAGTTAGGATGTAAAAGAATAGCCAATCATCCTGAAAGACATTGGAAATATATCATAGAGTGGGGTCTCTATATGGTTACTTAGCCATTTGGCTTCCTTTATAGTCAAGGAGTCCTCGTGGTACAATGGTTAAAGCACGTGGCTGATTACCCAAAGGCTGGCAGTTCATACCCACTAGCTGATCCTCAGGAGAAAGATGTAGCATTTTGCTTTCAAAAAGCTTTATGGCCTTGGAGGACCTTGGGGGCAGTGCTATTCTGTTACAGGAGGTTGCTGAGGGTCAGAATAAACTCTACGGCTCTTTCTTCCTTCCTTTCTTTCACAGATCAAAAATAAGGCTGTGGTGTAAAGGCCAGCCTTTCGAACCATCTATCATGGACTGGGAAGGCAGCAATATATGTAATGCTAAGGGCATACTTTTTCTAAAGTATGTAGTGGGGTTTTTTTGTAGCAACACTGGAGGAGAAAAATGTTCTGTATCATAAAAGTTTACTTAAAAATTTACCCAAATAAATGAATTGGAAATTAAACTGGCAGGCTAAGCTCATGCAGCTGATACTGGATTTTTTCCTGGGTGTTCTCCCCTTTCTCGGACAAAATAAATCCCAAATATGTTCTTCCACCTCAACAAGGAGATTCAAAGAGAATTAAAGCTTCTATTAGAGCCAGCATTCCTTGTTATGGCTGAGTTTTAAGTACGTAGTTTTTAAAACAAGTACTAAGAGAGCAAATAAAGGCAAGATCACTCCATCTGTGACTACCAAACAAAAGTCTGACAGAAATGTAAACTTCATGGGTCCTGCTTGTATAGTTGAAAAGTGCTAATTTTTCAAAGTTGGTATTTGCAGGTGAGGGAGAAAATCAGCCCAAATCACAACAAAAGAGGGTACGTGTGTGTATGTGGGGGAGAAGGTCGGGACCCAGAGAAAACAGGACAAAAGAATAACTCACATGGTGGGGTTAACATTGAGCAAGATAAGAATCAACACAGTTATGTCATGCAGGGCAGAGAAGAGAGAGGGCTTATTCTATCCAAAAGCCGTCTTTCAGTGCTGGGGGCGGGGAGGAGGCGGGGCTGGCAACCCAGCAAGTGAATGAACAGACCAACAATGTCTTCTAAAGAACAGAAGGAAATGTTTGCGGGGAGTCGAAGCTGAAAATAACCTATTGCTTACCAATTTCCCAACAGTCACACTGCTTCTCTGAGTGACTTCATGCAACACCATTTGAGTATTTTTCCAACGTGCAGGGCAAGGAACCCACCAAATTCAAAACCCAATTTCTGGCAAACCACTACATTGTAGAGAGAGATGAATCTACAGTCAGCCACTGTGCAAGCCCACGGAGGCGCCACGTGCAAAACTTAGACTCTAGCAGTCTGGTGGGCTCTCCTAGGCAAACAGCAAGGCTGCTACGCTATTCGCCATCACTGCCCAGCCTGCGCAGAGTTGTATTTTTATCTTTTCCCATCTTAATTCTTTAAAGTTATTTTGAATATTTTACTGTGGTTTGGGTGAGAGTTTACGGGCAAATTCTTTTCCCATTCAGCAATTCATGTCGTATCTTAAACAATGCAACATGGTTTGTTTCGAGACGTTAGTTACAATCCCTCACCGGGCAGCCCTCTCCCACCACTTCTCGGGGTTCCTTGCTTGTCTCCGTTCCTCTGCTCTGTTCCTTCTTGCCTTTGGAACTTTGCTTCTGGGCAAAGGCTGCCCATGTGGCCTCCTCTGCTTGGGCGCTATGCTGTGGTTCACTTTATGTTACTGGGATGATTGGATGAAAGGGGATTTCTCGGAGGGGTTTCAGTTCCAGGTTTGATGGGGACCTAAAGGCCCTGTCTTGGGGGTTTCACCAGTCTCTGAAATTTTTCTTTTTTAGTGCAATAGTTTAATCTGTACAAAAGAAATTCGATTGTACTTTCCTTGATTTAAAACAAGTCTCTGCATCTTCTTGTACATTTTCCCCCTACTCTGTCCAAGAGCTTTCATTGTGATCTGGCACAGAGCAGTCAGTAGGAATAGTCATGCACTATCTAGTTCTGGTCTCAGGCTCGTGGGGGCCGTGGCTTGAGTGTTTCATTCATTTCCTTGATCCTTTGATTTCTCTCATTCTTCCTGGATCCAGATGGGAGGCACCAAGAGCGTTATCCTGGATGGCCAGTCACAAGCCTGTCAGACCCTAGTTGCTTACGCTCCAAAGTCGAATGTAACACAGTCGTCTTACGGACAGTTCTGCTATTGATAGACATGTGTCTCAAGGCCATGGTCCTATGCCACAAGCCCAGTGACTCAGTTCCTCAAGGCATTTAGGTATTGCTCCAAATTTTGCACAAATGTGTCTCTTGTATGCTCTACTGTATATTTGGATACATTTGCTGCTATACAAATATGTATGTATCTGTCAATATGTTTTGGGTGTAATTGCATATGCCATCATATACCTGTTCAGCAGGGGTGTGTGTGTGTGTGTGTGTGTGTGTGTGTGTGTGTGTGTATGGATCCACTCAAATG